ACGAAGGGTCAACTATAACAGTGATAGATGAAGATCTCGCCAATTACGTGGGTGCCGACGGGCCGACAAATAACTTAAGCATACGAAGCATTAACACGCAGAATGTATACGAAACGAAACAAGTAAATCTTCAATTGATCGCGGGGAATAAGAAGCGATTCAATATTAAAGCTAAAACTATGAAAAATCTTACGTTGAACCGACAAAAGATAAATAAAGAAACGTTAAACTATAAGCATATGCGCCACTTACGTAGCAAAGATCTATGTTATGGGTATGCCGAACCGCGCATACTGATCGGAGCGGACAACTGGCATCTTATAGTAACTCGAAGACTGCTCGAGGGTAAGCGTGACGAACCGATCGCTTCCCTCACGATGCTTGGATGGGTCATCCATGGGTCAGCGCCGCGATCGGGGATGCTGAAAGAGAGCGACTCGGTGTTATACGTAGACACACCGCGATGCGCGACGGTCTCGCGCCCTCTCGACCGGGATGATGCGCTTCACGAAAAAGTAAAGGAGCACTTCGAAATCGATTCCATAGGAATAAATAGAAAGGAGCGAGTCAGTCCGAACGACGCTCGCGCAATGGAATTGTTTAATACAACGACAAAACAAATTAACGGACGATATGAGGTGCGACTGCCGTGGAAACGCAATGATGTGAAGATGCCACCGAGTTACGAGTCCGTCGTGATGAGATTGAAAATCATTGAAAAGAAGATGGATAAGTCAAGCTCTTTCAGAGACACATATAAAGCGCAGATAAAGAATCTGATCGATAAAAAGTACGCGGAGGAATGCAATGGGGAGGAACTACAGAGCCAACGATTATGGTATCTGCCCCACTTCGCGGTGTCGAACCCGAATAAGCCAGGAAAGTTACGAGTAGTGTTTGATGCGGCTGCCGTAACGAATGGAGTATGTCTCAATGACGAACTATTGGAGGGTCCCGACTTGCTTATAGATCTAGCGGGCCTCCTTTTACGGTTTAGAGAACGAGCGTTCGCCGTCACGGCCGATATCAAGGAGATGTTTCTTCAGATAAAGATTCACAAGGAGGATCAGCCGGCGCAGTTGTTCCTGTGGAGAGGCGACGAGCGAACCACGCCGCCGAAAAGATACAAGATGACGTCTATGATATTCGGAGCTAAGAGTTCTCCTTTCCTGGCTCACAGTGTACGGAACGCGAATGCCTACGCGCATGCTACAGAGTATCCACGCGCATATGAAGCAATCACTAAGAGTCACTACATGGATGACTATGTCGACTGCTACGACACAGAACAAGAGGCGATGGATGCGCTAAAGGAAGTAGCCACTGTGCACGCGCAGGCGGGATTCACGCTAACCGGTTATAACTCAAACGGACCGGAAGTGTTGCGAGAGCTGCCAGTAGAGAGCCGTGCCACATCGCCTACGCAACTCGCCATAAGCGAGGACCGATGGGGTAGGACACTAGGATTGCTGTGGGATGCGTCTACGGACGAACTGGCATTTAACACGGATATGGTGCGCGTGAATACGGACATAAAAGAAATGAAACGAGCCCCTACAAAAAGGGAGGCATTAAGCGCAGTAATGTCTATATTTGATCCGCTCGGATTATTAAGTTATTACACGATACGGGCGAAGATTATATTACAAAACATATGGCGATTGAAAATAGACTGGGACGAGGCCTTACCTGATGAGGAAGCCGGCGAATTTCACGAATGGCTTAATGGAATGAGTACCATTAGTAGGCTGCGTCTACCCCGGCGTCTCTATACGGGGGGAGTGACGGGAAAGCAGCTACATGTGTTTTGTGACGCGAGCGAGGTCGCTTATAGCGTCGCAGTCTATTGGAGAATCGAGAATGACGGGGCGTTGCAAGTGACGCTGGCCGCCGCAAAGGCCAGAGTGGCACCGATAAAAAGACAAAGTATTCCTAGAATGGAATTGCAGGCAGCGTTAATCGCTACGCGGTTGGCGAATACCGTAGCGAGAGAACAAAGATGGCATGCAGAGCGCGTCGTGTATTGGACCGATTCAAAAACCGTCCTGCAGTGGATAAACAATGATACAGCGCGTTTTACACCGTATGTGGCTCATCGTGTAACCGAAATAACTGAAACCACGACGGCGTCACAGTGGAGATGGGTGCCTACTGCACATAACGTCGCAGATGACGCAACGCGAGGCGAAGCTTACGTAAAATCGAATACGGATAGGTGGTTCACTGGACCGACCTTTTTATACGCTAGCGAATTAGAGTGGCCTACCTGTGACGTCACGAACAATACGGATGAAAATGAATGTTACGCGATAGCACAACTGCCGCAGGAAAACTATAGCATTCCCGATGTGAATCGCTTTTCCTCTTACGAACGCTACGTGAGAACGATGGCAAGAGTTTTAATGTTCGTCGATAGATGTCGCCACCGTGGTACTGATTTAACCGCGGAACACATAAACAAAGCAGAGGAGTTACTCTTGAAAAACGCACAGAGAGAAAGCTTCACAAATGATATTAACCGTCTTAAAGCTGGCCAAAAGTTGTCTAACAGCAGTCGATTACGAAAACTGGATCCATTCATAGACGAGAACGGCGTATTACGAGCGAGCGGGAGAATAAGGGCAGCGGGTGTGTCCATTATTACTACTACGCCAGTAATAATGGACGGCAGCCACCCGTATGCGCGGCTGTTGCTTCAACGCGAACACCGTCGCGCCCATCACGCGAACAATGAACGCGTCGTGAATGATGTTAGACAACGATATTGGATATTACGATTAAGACCAGCGGTGCGTGCAGTGGCTTATAAATGTGCTTTCTGTCGCGTGAGAAAAGCGATACCTACGAAACCAGTACACGGTGATCTACCTCAAGTAAGATTGGAAGCCTTTATCAGACCATTCAGTAATTGTGGCGTCGATTATTTTGGCCCTATGACGGTGACAATAGGAAGACGACATGAGAAAAGGTGGGGGGTGCTATTCACATGCCTTTCAACCCGCGCCGTGCACATCGAAGTGGTGGGGAGCCTGTCTACCGACTCCGCGATTATGGCACTACGACGAATGGCGGCGAGGAGGGGGTGGCCTAAGACAATGTATAGTGACAATGCGACGAATTTTAGAGGTGCCGACCGTGAGCTACGGGACGCATACAATGAATGGGAGCCGGCACTACGAGACTATGCGCTTACACAACGAGTCGACTGGCGTTACATATCACCGGGCGCGCCACACCAAGGAGGCGCATGGGAACGTCTCGTTAGAAGTGTCAAGAATGCATTACGAGTGACGCTACATGAAAAATCGCCGCGAGAGGAAGTCTTAGTCACACTACTGACCGAGGTCGAATACACTTTAAACGCTCGACCTCTGACACACGTACCAGTCAATATTGAAGATCCAGAAGCACTCACGCCCAATCACTTTTTATTGGGTATTTCGAACGGCCTGCCCTTTACCGGGCCGTGCGAGCGCGCCGACAAGCGAACCTGGAGGGCAGCACAAGCGCTGGCCGATGAATATTGGCGTCGATGGCTACGAGAGTACCTTCCCATGCTCATACCACGTGGAGGTGCCCGCGACGCGGGGCGTCGTGCGATACAAGAGGGTGACTTGGTTATAGTTGTGGATCACACACTACCCCGCAACATATGGCCAAAGGGCGTCGTCACCAAAGTATATCCTGGACCAGACAACGAGATACGCAATGTGGAGGTGAAGACGAAGGGCGGCACGTTCCGGCGACCGGCGACGAGACTGGCGGTCCTGACGATGGAGTGATGGGGCTACGCGGATGCTGCGCCGGGGGGAGCTCTGTTACGGACGCACGTCTCGTCGAGTTGTATATATTAGATGATCTTAAGTAAATTATATATAATAAGTAAGTTTAGTTAAATGAATGTGGTTAAAGTTTAGAATTAAATGATACAACCTATGGGTGTATTTATTCCCCTAGTATTAAGATAATTTAAGTTATAGCAAATTAAATGTTTGTGAGGGGTTGGATTTTATTTGCTATGGTTTTCTATAAGGTATTGCCTCGCTAAGGAGGCTTAGGTAGCTCTCTGTATGGTATTGCTTCACTCAAGGAGGCTTATGTGGGTTTTCTATATGGTATTGCCCGAGTCAAGGGAGCTTATGTGGGTTTCTATACGGTATTGCCTCGATACAGGGGTGTTTAAAATGTAAAATGTTCGACTACCTTCATGTTAACAATAAAAATGTATCGGAGCGAGACGGCGCTGGTTTGCGCGGGATCTTCCGTCTCGCTCTGACCACATAAATACATCGGGCAAGAGCGCGGCGCGCCTTAGAATGATTATGAGCTTCGACGGCGCGGTCTTGCCCGACACGATACGAGTTATGTAACAATAATATGATGATGTTTCAACGTGATTTATGATGTAAATGTAGAAACAGTAAAACGTAGTAATTAACAATAATGTGATACATAGATGTTAAGGGTGGGGGATGGCTTCGCAAAGTAGGGGTTAGATGTGTAATAGGCTAACCAACTGATAATATACGGAGCTAAGTGCGAGCCACCCCAACAAATGTAAGACGGGTCGATTTGAGCGAAATTTGTAAGCTCTCCGGCCCTCAAGATTTAATAATAAAGAAGAAGTGAAAACCATCGAAGGAAGTTTCAATTATACAGTCCAAATATCGGCTAGCTACGTGTAAATCTGTTCAAGATCCAGGAAGATCCGCAATAATACTTATATTTTATCTCACAGAAAAATACATAAATATCATCTTTATCAAAGTTACTATTAAGACTAAGTCAATTTAGAAAAACTCCTTACCTAAATACCTACTTCTTATAAAACGAGGATTAAACTTAATATCTGGTTTAAACTAACTCGATTTGCACTCGTTAAATTACGTCGTTAGAGTATTGTCCCGCATGAATATGTTACTTATATAATCCTTTTCTTTGCATGTACTTAAAACATATACGATGCGTGTTGTGGGTGCAATATTGTGCGGTATACTCACACTTCGATGGCCTTGTTCCAGTTGATGACATAGCCGCTGAGCGCGAAAGTCTCTATGTTGACCACGTGCACGTTCCCACGCTCGGTGCCCACGTGGATCCATTTGGACTGCAGCGGGAGGTGCAGGCACGTGATCCTGGAACACACGTACGGTACTCACTTATTACAAGACAGAAATCACCCTCGCCCTCGATAAGGACACAGGATTTAAATTGAGTATAAGAATAGAAAAACATTTGGTAAAAAGAATCAATTTCCGATTCCATATTATTCATTTAAAGTTACTATGACCATAACATCGTTAATTTTACAAAGCTACAGTTTAAGTGTAGAGCGTTATGTTCAACAAGTGAGCATTGATCAGATCCGTGTGATCGGTCAGGTGCGGCTCTCTGCAGCCGCCACCACGTCACGGCCACAGTGCGGGATTGTCACTTGGGCTAAAGAGCTCTTCCGGCTTTAAACGGATAGAATTGAGCTCGGACCTGTCACACGAACCGAGGTGCAGTACACTTGAAAATGTACCTGTTGATATTATTGTGATATCATATAACAGTAAAACATTTTCATTGTGCTATGTATATTACATTGGGAAAAAAATATTCGCTCCTGCCCTATATGTACTTAAAAGAGGTTGTAATACGGGTCTGAAAACCTTTATAGGCACCGGTAACCCACAAAGATTAGTTTGATATTTAATTTTCGCGATGACTCTATATGCTTATATCATTTTTATTATGCTATTGTAACATAGCAATTGATTATTTGCAGAATGCTTGTACGTTTATTTTTTATTTGATTTAAGTAATTAGCTTTTCTGTTATTCAAAAAATACTCAACATCATACGTAATTATGTAAGTAAAAATAGTACAAAGTATTTTTTTACACACAACAATAGGCAGAATTTTCAGTTTCCTGTTATAGAAATTGTACACATATAACTATATCGCCCGTTCACAGCGGATGTTAAGGCTGCATGCTACGAATAACTACGAGCTATCTACGGCTACGACGCCGGCGTGTGCTACCGCGACGACGTAGCGATCGTAAAACCGTAGCCGGCAGTAAAACTATAGAAAATGTGACGCGCATGTCGATAAGCCCTTATCGTTTCGTATTACGTTCACGGTAATATAGAATACAAGCATACTCTCTAAATAAAGTTGTTGAAGGCAAACTTTTAGTAATATTTTTACTTCTTTTCATTATTTTTATTATACGTTGCTGTGTGTTTTGTATCTGTCTTGCATTTAAATTAACGAAAAGTCATCGTTCCAGTTTTCTATATGTTGCAACTTTTATATCACCGATAATTTTTAATTAATGGAATTGAGAGATAGTGCTACTAAGTATATTACTAAGTCGAATAAGTTGTTATCAAGATACATATATAGGACATTTAAATACACAAAAACCATGTGTTTAGTGTGAGAACTTTCTTCATTTTATCAGAATGCGTAAAAAAAAATATATTTAATATAACAAAGTAATACTTAGTTTGGCGTTTGCGTAAAAAGATATAGTATGCGGTGTCGTTTAATAATAAAAAGAAACGGTTGAACAAAATATATCAAGAAAATGTTAACGTTTATGTAAAACATGATGAGATTACTGAATGAAAATCTTAAAGATCGTGTAAACAGTGTTATAAATACGTACTTCGTTTAACATTATTGTGAAGCTTATTGTAAAGTAAAAAGTAAATTTTCCCGTTACCTAGAACCTTCCATTATTATTAAAGGGTATAAAGATTTTCGAAGATATACAACAACCATTTTAGAATAATCGACCACGCGAGCTTAGTGATAAGGCGTAGTTTCCCTTGTCATACTTTATAATTGCTCGGATATGGTTACCGATGTGCAAATTTAATAGATCGAGCAGATAATTGGACTGTAAGTAGAGTTTGGCCGAGTGCCCGGAAGTCCACCATTTTGGTGGGTATGGATGTATATTATCACCCATAACTACGCCAACGATTATTGGAACTGTGCTAATATGCATATCAGGCTAATGATAGATACTGATGGAATCGGCACATTATTGAGAATACCTTTTTTTCTTTTTTATATTCATCATCATCACAGTAAAGTCTAGTCAATATAGAAAATAAACTTTTCTATATTGTTCTGGGTCTAGGTCTTGTGGTAACTTCGTTGTTTCTTATTTCTATAATACATATGCTTTAGCTACTTCATTAGGGTTCTGAGTAATGTATTGGATGTTTTAAAACATATATAACACTAATATCTCTCCCCCTTTAAATAGTAAAGGAAAGGTTACCGTTTGAAGTGAGCAAAAAGTCATTAACGAATGGAGATTAAAACACATCATTCGAGTCGCCAGAAACACTTCAATAAGAAGCTTAATTGAGTACCGGAGACAATCAAAGTGTGAATGAAACGGAACGACCGAAGGACTGAGTAAACACTGGAATTAAGTGTAAATATTAACAGCGCGGCCCCGAACCACGGAGGCTTCAAAGACGAGCCAGAGTAATGCCAGGGTAAACACGCTCTGTGGCTACAGAGAGGAGCGTCACAGGTAACAGACGACATTTACTTAGAGTAGTTATTTTGGTCGACTACACATTATATATACGAATATGTTATTAAACTAACAATATGAGTGTATAAATAATAATTGTGGTTTAAATATTATACTAATTAGATCTGCAAGGTAAATAATTAACACATACACCAATCCCAGTAATATAAAAATATATTGATACATAAGCAATTTCTAAATAATAAAACAACTACAGTGACACAATTTTATTCTCCTCATTGAAATATAAATAAAAAAACAAGTGTTTTTTCAATATATTTCTAACGATAGTTTTTGTATTGATTTGTAATAATTTGATATGGGATTCCATAAAATAAAACGTATCGTATTTCAAGTGTTCCGTAATATTAGAAATTCGGAAAGCCCTGATTATATTCTTTTACTCACATTCCGATCGGAAGACGAGTTATTTCGCCATCATGAGGTTTCTGCTTGTAGGCAAACAGCTGCCGCTCGTCCTGGTGTCGGCAACACGTTACAGTAAAAGGACACACTCAAGGGTCTACGGTGGGGCGTGTACGGGTCGGTATTCGATAGATGAGCTTTTTTCTGCTTTCTCGTAAATCTTTCACTTAAAACAAGTTTTTATAAGCGTCATCATTTTGCGAATTAGTGTAAAATAAGTGACATAATCATAAGAAAGTGTCTTCTTAGAAAATAAAATTGTGAACTCTTTGAATCGCTAGGCTATTACAGGCCGGTTAGCGTACACTTTGTTTTGTTCTCTATTCTTTCGCGTTCACAATAAATTCAGTATGTGATATGGTATACTTGCGTATTCCATATTTATAATTTTTATCCTACTCGGTGAGGAGTGATGGCCACGGTATCATTTAGAAATTAATCATTTTTGTGCGAGTTGCGAGAATCACGATTCAATGCAGTACATACAACGACTGCCTATTACACCACCAGGGACAGAGTAAAGTATGCGTAGTGAACTGAAATTTAAAGAGATAAAAAATTGATTTTATGTCATGGAAAAAGGCATATGTCTTGCTACTAGTGTAGGGACCCAAGATGATCTGATTGTACACAAGCCAAATTTTATGTCTCTTTGGACGTGACGACCGTGTTGTTCGATTGGATGTTTCGCTGAGCTTGTCCCCCGTTCCCATCCAAATCCCCTATATTGGATTTCATTGAATCACTCATAGTTCAGCCTATAGGGGAGATCTTGACCTTGCTAGGTAGGAGAAAAGACGACGCACTAAATCGTAAATTGATCTTAAATTCTTGGGATCACAGTAAGGACGTTGCATGCAATGTTTTTTTTTTAACAAAATGTCTGTTTCAGATAAACACACTTATATTGATAAGAAAGAGAGAGAGAGAGAGAGATAAACAATGGAACAACGTAAGGAGAGGTGAGGTCTTGGACGATAGTGACACACACACGCGAACGACATCAAACTAACACACACTCACCGTTTGATTTCGTTAGTCTTTCGTGATAGTTTGATGCTGTATCTGTAACAATGTGCAAACGAACGCCTATACTAGCTATATTGTGCAAACAAAGTCACTGTAAAGGGCAGCCAACATTTATATATGTATATCTCGTTTTGACGTATGCTTGAACGTTGTCAATTAGAACTGGATTAATCTTTTATCATCGACCATTTAAAAATTGAAATGTTTACATTCCATTACTATAGAAAGAATACTATAAAAATCAAGCGTGTCGTGTAACTTCAAATTAGAAAATTTGCCACATGTGTGAGTTATTTTTTATAGTAAAATGTTATTTTAATTATCACATATATTTCTAAATTAATCACAAAATTTCTAAATTGAAAATTCCTCTTCGTGCATAGTTGTTCACTATTATTTATATTTAAATAATGTTGGCAATCCCAAAACAGTGCGAAAAAATACAGAAAAACAGTGCTATTTAGCTTCAACAAACGCATAAAGACAAAAAAAGCGTTACCATCTAACAATGAAAATTTGCCGGCTGTGAGCGTTACATATATAAAAATTTAATCGTGAATGTGAAAAACTCAAAACAATTGTTTATTATAATATATCGGCGCTATTTCAGCAATAGTTATAGTATATAGTTATTTCAGCAATAGTTATAGTATATATTTATTTCAGCAATAGACAGTTTGTTGGATAGTTCAATAGGTATCGTTAAAAAGAATTTCTTCCAGGCAACCGTTTCAATAGAAAAAATAATAGAAAATAAAATTAATTTAATGTAATAGGTCACTCGAATGAAGAACTAAACTACATAAGCCCCTCTTAATTTAGGAATAGACAATATTTTTGTTCATTGTGTAAACCTATTTGATAAAGGTCGGCCTGGAATCTAATTAGCGTCGTCTATCATTCCAAAACTAAAGCCACAAATGCTAAAATTGTTAAAAATAACGAGCCAAAAACGAGCGATCCTGAGAATAAAACAAGATAAATTGTAGAGTAATTATACGAACTTAGTGAAATTGTGTAGAATCAACATTGTAACGGTAATGAGTAATTAGACAAACCTCGGGGAGCAATTAATATCATCAGATATAATAGCAATGATAACAGCCCTAATACGGATCGAGGCGCATAACATA